AGTCCAGGCAACCAACGCATGTTACAACAAAGCTTAAACTTGTTCTTCATAATAATTTTAAAAACAGTACTAGCTGTCTATTTAGTTTTAAAAACAGCAAAAAAATGTCCACCTCCCTTTCCATTTCTTATAAGGAGGCTTGAAGCTTAAATCTCCTCAGTGTAATAGATGTGCTTGCTTTGATCTGCTTAGTTCTTGGAAGTCCAGGGGCTCCGGGCTGCTGGCCCCGTGCTGCCCGAGGTCCCTAGGGACAGCTCTGTCCGCCATTAGGGAATTTTTCCCTGAGAACCCCCTGTAACATTTTGCAAACCCCCAGGGGTTCACAAACCCCAGTTTGGGAACCACTGGTCTATAGGAATTTCACTGATAAATATTTCATCAGTGAAAATTTCCATGTACACCAAACCTTACCAAGTGTTAGCACACGGACATGTTATTCATACTGGTTTGCTGAATTGTATATTCAGTAGATTCAACTCACTCATTAAATAAAATGGTAGCAAAAATTCTCTCTGCCTCCCTGAATTTTATTATAATTATTGAATCTCTAACTGACATTTCCTTCCTCTCCCCAAGTCATTCTGGATGTCATTCATTCAAGAAATTTTTCAATTGCTAAATTATAATGTTAATATAATTTCCTTTCCTCCCACCACCATGAGTTTCATGAGTTTCTACAAGGGTTGAGAAGCTTAAGGATAAAGGTATTTTCCAGAAATAAAAATAAAACCAGACAAACAGTTCTTTGTGGAATAAACTCTATTAGATATTACACATCTACTGCAGAACGTTTAAAAAAGATCACGAGGAGCAACAGGTTTGTGCAAAGAAAAAAAACCCTATTTCCAGAAGAAAAAAAACACAAAGACATCATAAACTGTTAGCCAGATAGATGGTTCAGTTGTCTTTTCAGACGGTCACCTAAAAGTTTGCTTATAAATTAATTTTATTATGAGGCTTTACAATCTTGGCATCCTGCCACATTGTGAAGCAGCATCACATCATAGATATTGGGAGTCTTTCAACAGCCCTGTCAGATACAGGACTGCCCATTGAAAACTGGGATAACACAGCTTCTGTGGTGGATGGACCAGATTCATCCACTGTGGTGCACATAGGTGTAAATTATTCCTCCCTGTGCCAGCTGATTCCTCAGTGCCCCAACAAGATTTTACCAACGGAGGCCCGTAGTGGCACTACCACCTGCCCTCCCTTAGGATTTGTACTGGGGGGAGGGACAGGAATGATTGTGGCAGGGGCTCCATTTCCAGTGGCCACTCTGAAGGTGATGCACTGAGTCAGCATATGCCCTAGATGTCTAGGCCATGCTTTCTTCTGGGTTATCACCATTCATTTTCTGGAGTATGCTAGCAATTTACACAGAGGAAGGATCTGGAGAAGGAGGAGCACCACCCCCTTCCACACCCTTCCACAGTAGACTTTTTTGCAGCCAGGCCCTGTACTTTGTTTTTTCACAGTGGAAGCCAGTATAAATCCCAGTTGAATCCAGTCCTATAAGAACATACAGAGAGAAAGAAGCACATAATGGTGAACAGTTGAATAATAAACAGATATCAACTTAATTTTACATGAACGGAAAGACTAGTCAACCTGAGAAGGGAATGCTGATCACAGTGTATGAAGCCAATGTGCAATATATTCTGCCATATTTACACGTGGAATGTCTTCCAAGGAAATACCTGACAGCCTCTCAGTTATACCCACACATTTCAGGAGTATACCAGTTTTTCCCTTTTAAACAAAGATTCATACAAGGGAGTTTTATTTCCTGATCCAGAAAAAGATCATGTTTGCAACTGACAAGCAGGGCCACCCAGAGGATTCAGGGGGCCTGGGGCAAAGCAATTTCGGGGGCCCCTTCCATAAAAAAAGTTGCAATACTATAGTAACATGTATTTGGAAACGTAAAAAATAACCAGTGAAATACATTCCAAAATTAATTTTTAATAATTTGAAAATACACGAAATACATTATTTAAAAACATGAAATGCTTTAATGGTATGTATACATTTGCAATTACATAATGGGTTCTCGCTGGGTGATGGTGATGGTTGGTGCCAATGGGCTGTCGCTGCCTAGGGGTGGTGCTGCTGTTGCCCAGGGCTGGGTGGGGAGCTGGGCTCTGGGTCGGGGGCTACCCGGCTCAGAGGGGCTGGGCTCAGAGCTGGGGGGGTCAGGGCTGTGGGGGGATGGGGTCAGGGGGTGCCTGGCTCAGAGGGGCTGGGCTCAGAGCTGGGGGGGTCAGGGCTGTGGGGGGATGGGGTCAGGGGGTGCCTGGCTCAGAGGGGCTGGGCTCGGAACTAGGGCTGTGGGGGAATGGGGTCGGGGGATGCCCGGCTCAGAGGGGCTGGGCTCAGAGCTGGGGGTCAGGGCTGTGGGGGGATGGGGTCAGGGGGTGCCCAGCTCAGAGGGGCTGGGCTCGGAGTTGGGGGTCAGAGCTGTGGGAGGATGGGGTCGGGGGGTGCCCGGATCAGAGGGGCTGGGCTCGGAGCTAGGGGTCACGGTGTGGGGGGAATGGGGTCAGGGGGGGTGTCCAGCTCAGAGGGGCTTACCATGCTGCCTAGCCCCACTTCTCCCCTCTCCAGGAGCCTCAGCGCACCGCATCCAGGAGCGGCCCTGGACAGTGCTGCAGCGGCGTGGCTCCAGCGGGATCTGAGCTCCCACCGCTCAGCCGGAGGTCGCAGCCCCGCCCCCTTACCACACTCTGAGTGGGAGGAGCTCAGGTCCCATCCGAGCCACACCGCTGCAGCGCTGTCCAGAGCCACTCCTGGACGCGGTGCGCTGAGGCGCCAGGGGATGGGGGAAGGCGGAGGTGGGGGGGGAGCCTCCGACATTCTCGTGGGGGCCCCTGCGGGACCCAGGGCAAATTGCCCCACTTGCCCCCCCCCGGGCGGCCCTGCTGACAAGCCACTCAGAAAGCAGGAATTTGTATATGTGAATTTAGTAGCTCAGAGGTAAGCAAGTTTTCTCTGTACTCACTCCTAGCCAACTGGGGCATGCTTATTTGCATAGGAGATCTGATTCGTTAACATAGTACCAGATGTCAATATTGTTCATCTCTGAGAAAACAAATAAACAATATAAACTGGCTAATTTACCACATAACTATTTTTAATAGGTGGGGACAAGATAGGGGAGATAATATCTTTTATTGGACCAACTTCAACTGAAGACAAGCTCCGTGTATAAGCTCAACAGCTTGTCTCTCCCACCAACAGATGTTGGTCTAATAAGATATGACCTCACCCACTTTGTCCCCCCCAAAAAATTATCAAATCATTATAGGGAAAACGAAGAACTTCCACAATCCCACTTCACGCTACAAAGGGTAAGGCAAATACTAACTGCCAGTGATTAGAAAGAAACTTTCAAGATTACATAATTGTCCATTGTAGGATTCGTTGCACCTTTCCCTGAAGCAGCTGGTACTGGCCGCTGTTGGAAAAAAGGATATCAGACCACTAGATGTTACAGCACAGATGTACATAGATGTTACATGTTCCTGTGAAAAAGACGGTTCATCCAAACAGCTGATTTGGGTAGATGATATAAGGGATATTGGAGAGTGAGAAAATGAAAGACCACCTCCTGCCATGTCATAAGCAATACTTCTGTAAATTGTCACAAAGCAAAATACAGTCAACAACAAATACTTGTGGCATTTTTAGGCGAGGAAATGGGATTAGAGCAAAAAAATTTGGACAACATATCAAGTGAACTTCTAACACAATTTCAAGACACCATAACTTTAAATCTTGTTTTCTGATTTTTTTTTAATCAAACTTATAAAAAACCTCTACCCAGAAATAAAGATGTACCATGTGAAATTTCAGGAAGAATACTGTTTTGGAGGAAAGTTGAGATAAGGGCTGAAAACTGATCTATGGGAAGCTAGGTTCAACTATAACTATGGAGTAACTTCTGCCACTTCAGAATACATACCTTCCAGAGTTGCTTCATGGGATTTCCATTCCTTTAAGGAATATAAATTCTTTTAAATTTAAAATCCCATGTAAATTACATATTATATTAATTGTTGCGTGTATAAGGAAAACAATTGTATATTATACACTCTGGAGCAGATCCTCCGCTCAGGTAGATTGTCTTAGCTCACTTGATTTCAATGGAGTTATGACAATTTATATCAGCTGAGTGTCTGCCTCTCTGTTTAGATCCCAGATGTCACCTAGAAACTATGGCTGATGCTCTAAAATATGGCAGATTAGATAAAGATAAGGATAATGACATTGAGTGACAGAAAATGAACACAATCTTTTCGGGTTTTGATAGGTTCCTGTGAGATTTTGAGGATACAAAGTTCCAAATGCTAATCCAACTCTGGCATATGTCTTGTACCATATGAGGAAATGCTTATATTTAGTGAAAACTTTGCTGCCCCTTTAGAATGGTTCTTGCTGTTAATGGCAATGGAAAAAACATCCAACCTATGCAAACACAGGCTATTTTCAGAGGCAGGAAAATGCATTTAACTTCAGCGGTGACATCACAGGTCTGTTCTGCTTGATCTCGGAGGGAAATAGTGATACCTAGCACTTTTCATCTTCCATATGCTGAACTGTCATAACAATGTGAGGGAGAACAATTACTCCCATTTTACAGATAGCAAAACTGTAGCTGAGAGGTTAAGTGACTAGCCCAAAGCCAGAGACATTGTTGCTGTCAGAGCAAGGGTTAGACCTCAGAAGTTCCTGGTTTTTGGTCCTACATTCACACTAGACCAGGTGTCAGCAACCTTTCAGAAGTGGTGTGCCGAGTCTTCATTTATTCACTCTAATTTAAGGTTTTGTGTGCCAGTAATACATTTTAACATTTTAGAAGGTTTCTTTCAATAAGTCTATAATATATAACTAAACTATTGTTGTATGTAAAGTAAATAAGGTTTTTAAAATGTTTAAGAAGCTTTATTTAAAATTAAATTAAAATGCAGAGCCCCCCGGACTGGTGGCCAGGACCCGGGCAGTGTGAGTGCCACTGAAAATCAGCTCGCGTGCCGCCTTTGGCACACGTGCCATAGGTTGCCTACCCCTGCACTAGACCATGCCTATTTCTCATGTTATTTCTTTTTATCTTCCTTTGTGGCTTATATTGAAAACTGTTCGTTCACAGGTTGAAAATATATTTGTTCCTCAAACCCTTAAGAGGTCGGGATAACAAAATGAAGCTGGAATCCCTTTTCAGCTTTGTTGAATCTAAATGAGCCATCACTACCCCCCTGCTTATGGCAAAACTGTATCGAAAGTCTGGGATTGAAGAAACATTCCTTCTATTAACCAAACAACCTCCGGAAAAAAACAAAACAAACCTTGAAGTGTACTATCATACTATTAATCTCAGAATCTCCACTTGCTATATTCTGATAGCTCTGGCTCTTTATGACCTTCTGTTCACTCTATGAGAGTCCATAGGCTTTTCAACTAATAATGGGAAGGCTAAAGCCATAATAAAGTTCCAGTGTCCTTTCACAAAGCCAAATAAAGTGGGAATGAGAGAAGGTAGGAACCTACCACCCCCCAGATGTTTCCACACAGACTGTCAATGAGGGGCTCCGTTCCCCTTTGATATTTTCATTTGAGGATTTATTTCATGAAATCTCAAAAGTTCAGGATTCATGCAGACTTTTTACTGCACTCGAAAGGAAAGAGAGGAGAAAATGAATTATTTCTTTTGGCTTCATTTAAACTTCTCTAGCATCAGACTTCTATGCAGTAGTTGACTTCATTAAATCATACTTAAGGTGGCTTGTATACCGCACATACATATACCTGCACAATCAGCTGTTTGTGCATACCCCCCCCCACACACACACCTGTACAATCAGCTGTTTGGGTGTATACCTACACACAGCTGTACAATCTGCTGTTTGCATATTTCAGCCTCTTATCTAACATCGTGGATTTAACGCTAAAGTGTGAGAATATCATTTCCTGGTAACATGCACTGTGCTACAGAGCAGTTTCCAGTGGTTACAACATATAGGAGTATTGTGTCAGGGAGTATTGTTATGTCAGCAGCTAAGTAGTTTGGTACCTATAGTAAGCAGTAAATGATGTCTTTGTTTTTCACTTTGGTTTAATATCTTTGTGGTAAACAGCCATTTTGTTCGTCTCTTGGCAATCATCTTATAGACAGTCATAGAGCTATCGATATAAGAGAAATTTCTCAAGTGGCTCAGGAAGATTCAGCTTGTGGACTACATAAAGACATGAGCGACCCAGACACTTCCTGATACACAGCCGACACAGCTGGGCAAGGCTGGCAGGACCTGGAAAAGAAGGAAAAACCCATAAACCCCAAACCCGTAAACAGGAAGGCCAATGGGGGCTGCGGGAAGTGGCAACCAGCACATCCCTCGGCCTGTGCTGCTTCCCACAGCCCCCATTGACCTGGAACGGTGAACCACGGCCAGTGGGAGCTGTGATTGGCCAAACCTGCAGACGCTGCAGGTAAACAAACCGTCCCAGCCCACCAGCAGATTTCCCTGATGGGCCGCGTGCTAAAGGTTGCCAGTCCCTGTGCTATGCCAATATATACCAGCTGAGGATCTGACCCAAGGCTGGAATGCAATGCTCCTTATAAACTCTGTTGAAGTTGTTCATAACTTTCTTAAACAAATTCCCCATGGGAGGAAGTTTTCTAAGCTGTGTGATCATCCGGGGACTTCAATTTGAGTGACATATGCTGGAGGTCTCATGCTGCCAGTACTAAAACATCCTTGGGATTTATAAATAGTATATATGACAATTTCCTAACTCAAAAAGTGTTGTATCCAACATAGGGAAATTCTATTTTACACCTCATTTTGACAGATACAGAAGAACTGATCACAGAACTAAAAATTACTGGTAACTTAGTTACAGGTGACCATGACTTGATCACATTTATAATTTGCAAACAATAAAGTCCACACCAGTGATATTTATAATTGGTGTTTTGAAAGGGCCAGTTTCACAAAGCTGAAAACAATTAGAAGCCAAATCAACTGGGAGGAATAATTCAATCAAAAAAATGTGAATCATAATTGGGAATTGTTTAAGAATACTTTACTAGCTGCTCAAAAAGCCACAACTGAGGAAGAAGGCCGTATCAGTTAAAAAACTGTCCTAGTTTAGTGGAGAAGAAAAGGCAGCTAAAAATAAAATAAATAATAATAATATATAACAAATGGAAGAAAAGGGAAGCTGATAGTAATTACTATAGATCAAAAGTTGGGAATTGTAGAAAATGCATAAGGGAAGCAAAGGGACACAAGGAGAAATCTATGACCACCAGAGTTAAGGACAATACGAAGGCGTTTTTTAAGTACTGGTATATTAGAAACAAAAAGAATCCTAACAATGGTAATGGTCCATTACTAGATGGTAGAATTATCACAATAAGAATGCAGAAAAGGCATAAATGCTCGATAAATATCTGTTCTGTATTTGGGAAAACAACAGAAAATATAGCCATAGCATGTGATATCATTCTTTCCATTCCACTAGTATCTCAGGAGGATGTTAAACAGCAGCTAATAAATCAGCAGGTCCAGATAACTTGCATCCAAGATTTTTTTAAAAGCTGGCTAAAGAGCTTGCTGTACAATTAATACTGATTTTCAGTAAATCTTGGAACACCATGGAGTTCCAGACGACTGGAAGAAAGCTAATGTTGTGCCAATATTTAAAAACAGTAAACTGGATGACCCAAGTAGTTATAGGCCTGTCATTACTCCTGGGCAAGATAATGGAGCAGCTGATATGACACCTGATTAATAAAGAATTAAAGGAGGGTAATATAGTTAATGCCAATCAACATGGGATTATGGAAAATATATCCTGTCAACTAACTTGATATCTTTTTTATGAGATTACAAGTAATAGTGTTAATGTAATAGATTTCTGTAAGGCATTTGACTTAGTATCACATGAAATTTTGATTAAAAAACTAGAAAGATACAAAGTTAACATGGCACACGTTACATGGATTAAAAAGCTGGCTAATGGAGAGGACTCAAAATGTAATTGTAAAATGGAAAATCATCATTGAACAGTTGTATTTCTAGTGGAGTCCCATAGGGATCAGTTCTTGGCCATATGCAATTAACATTTTTATTAATGACTGGGAAAAAAACATAAAATCGTCTCTGATAAAGTTTTCAGATGACACAAGAACTGGAGGAGTGGCTAATTATGACGAGGATAAGTCACTGATACAGAGCAATCTGGATTTCTTGGTAGGCTGGGCACAAGCAACAATGTGTGTTTTAATAGATATACATCTATGAAGAAAGCATGTAGCCATACTTTACATGCTGGGAGACTCTATCCTGGGAAGCAGTGACTGAAAAAGATTTGAGAACTGTGGTGGATAATCAGCTGAACAAGAGTTCCCAATCAGCTCAAGAGTTTTGGCTGTGGCCAAAAGGGCTAATGTGATCTTTGGATGCAGAGGAATCACACAGGAGAAGAGAGGTTATTTTACCTCTGTATTTGGCACTGGTGTGACCGCTGCTGGAATGCTGTGTCCAGTTCTGGGGTCCACAATTCAAGAAAGATGCTGATAAATTGGAGAAGGTGAAGAGAAAAGCCACAAGAATGATTAAAGGATTAGAAAACATGCTTTATCGCAGGGGCGGGCAAACTTTTTGGCCTGAGGGCCGCATCGGGTTTCGTAAATTGTTTGGAGGGCCGGTTAGGGGAGGGGGTTGTGACCCAGCCCCCACCTCCTATCTGCCCCCCCCCGCCGGGACTCCTGCCCCATCCACACACTGCCGATCCCTGTCCCCTGACTGCCCCTGGACCGTCCCTGGACCCCCGCCGCCCCATCCAACCCCCCCGTTCCCTGATGGCCCCCTCCCCGGGACCCCTGCCCCATCCAACCACCCCTTCTCCCTGTCCCCTGACTGCCCCTGGAACCCCTGCCCC